ACTCGGTCACTCACCCTAACCAATCGGCCTTCATCCAAGGCCGGTTTATTCTCGATGGCGTGTTGGTCTTCCATGAATTCCTTCACGAACTACGGACGAAACATCATCGTGCTGTCTTCCTGAAGCTTAACTTCCATAAAGCCTATGATACTGTTCACTGGCCTTTCCTTCGGGAAGTGCTGCTGCGTAAGGGCTTTGACGATCGCTGGGTGACTCGCGTGATGCAACTAGTCTCCTGTGGACGGACTGCGGTGAACATCAACGGCGAGATTGGGTCATACTTCCCCACTCTTTGTGGGGTTCGTCAGGGTGACTCGTTCTCGCCGTTCCTGTTCAACATGGTGGTTGATGCTCTGGCCGCCATCCTGGATAAGGCTAAGGGTGCCGTCCATATCCATAGCATTATCCCTCACCTAGTCGGAGGGGGAGGGGTCTCCCTCCTTCAATACGCGGATGGCACCATAATAATGGTGGAAGGTTCTACTCAGGACGTGGCTAACCTGAAGTTCCTCCTCCTTTGCTTCCAGCAGATGTCGGGCCTAACGATCAACTTCGATAAGAGCGAAGTGATGGTTCTTGGCTACCCTCTGGTGGAAGCTCAGGCTATTGCTGATCGCCTGAACTGTCGGCTGGGGTCTTTCCCCACGACCTACCTGGGGATCCCCGTTAGTGATTCGTGCCTCACCATGGCGGATCTCCGCCCTACGGTGACCCGTATGCAACACCGCGTCGAGCCTTGGAAAGGGCGTTGGCTATCGAAGGCTGCGTGTGTGATTCTCATCAACTCCTCACTCGCCAGTCTCCTTTGGTTCCTCATGAGCTTTTATAGCCTCCATGAAACGCTGCACACGGAAATTGCTAAGTACCAATCCAGGTTCTATTGGGCTGGCGACGATGACAAACAGAAGTACCACATGGTTAGTTGGCCGGACATTTGTAAACCCAAAGACCAGGGGGGTCTTGGGATCCTGTCCTCCCGCCGCATGAACATCGCCCTTATGACCCGGTGGTTATGGCGGATTGCTAATGGGGACGGAGGGTTGTGGCTCACCATTATCCGCAACAAATACCTCCGTGGACAGCCTCTAGCTTTCTGTCAGCGTTCTGGCGGTTCACAGTTTTGGCAGGTCGTCGTCCAGCTGCTTCCTGTGCTTCGCATTGGCACGTCCATCTCGGTTGGCTCTGGGTCCGCGACCCTGTTCTGGTTCGATCGATGGATCGGCGACACCCCTCTGGCCGCCCGCTTTCCCGAGCTCTTTGCCATTGCAGTTGACCCTCGGGTCTCTGTTGCGACGGCCCTTATTGACTTAGGGCGCCTCGCGTTCCGTCGCCCTTTCGGCCCTCCCGAAGTTGCCGCCTGGGATGCCCTTCTCCAGGACATCGTCCTTCTCCCGATGAGCGTCACCGACGCCCCGGACGCTTTCTCGTGGCGCCTAGAGTCTTCCGGACGCTTCTCCACTAGGTCCCTGTACGCGGCCATCGCGCCTTCGCCCGCCCCCGAGCCCTTCGGTTTGATCTGGGATATTCGCTTGCCACTGAAGATTAGGATCTTCCTTTGGCAATGGATTCGTGGCCGCCTCCCCTCCGGAGTCGAAGTCCTCAAGCGTAACGGACCTGGAGATGGGCTTTGCCCTCTATGCGGCACGGTGGAAGATGCTAACCACATCTTCTTCGCGTGCCACACGGCCCAGTTTCTTTGGTCCAGTTTCCGCGAGACGGTTGGTGGACAGTGGTGTAACTCCAACTTCCTCGACCTTCTAGCGGAAATCCATGCCTCCCCCCCTCGCTACCGCCATATTCGTTGGCTCTACGTTGGGGTCCTCGCCTGGATGCTATGGACCGTCCGCAATAAGTTTGTCATCCAAAAGGTCCCTCTTCGACGTGCTACTGACGCCATTTTTAAAATGTGTGGTTACCTGCAGCTTTGGCGGCCGCTTAGCCGCCCCCAGGATCGGGACGTCATCAGCACCCTCCTCGTCGACCTCCGATCGCTCGCCTTCCGACTGGCG